TGTATATAAAATCATTTAGTTCAATTCTTTGTGTTTTCAGTATAAATATAATTTTTAGAAGGTAAAATATTCCTCATTAGTATGTATTATTATCAGTGTTCTAAAATGATTTATTATAACACATGCTGATGTGATTCTAACTTTTCAAGACGGTAACAATCGTTGCACTCGTTGTATGAGAAGTGGCAATTCGTGTTAACGTCAGTTATTGTATTCTCTAATTGAGATTTGCAATACTAATACATTACAATTTGTCAATTTGTTGTCATTTTGAGAAAAAAAATTTAATTGCATTTTAATTTTCTTTCATTGATGAGTAGTGTTGGCATACACACAAGTTGAACATTATTACTCAAAAATCACTACTATCAAATAGAAAAAGGATAATTGTAGTCATCGTTTCAAATCTTTCAAATATTTGCAACTTTTACCCTAACATTTTATTTATTGCACTTGTTATCCTGAACATTTCATTCTCGTGCGACGGAAGGACATATGGACATGTTTTATTTATTTTATTTTTTTGACTTAGGTGTTCGAGTTTTGTCCGACTAATTCTGAGGAGTGACGATCTTCTCTGCTAGGTCGCCACTTGGGTAAATCCAAATGCGATTATAGTTTATATACATTTGGACTGAATATTCGGGATTCAATTTTCCTTTCTATGGACCTCCTTTTAAGACATACGGACATGACTCCTGAAGGGACAACAAAACGTACCATAACTTTGTCTCCACTGATATCGTCATGCCTTCCAACATAGATGTTGCCTTCCAACTGCCATGAGAATTTGAACTTTTGATTCTCCGTAGAGTAATCTTCTACTTTATCACTACACCATGCCTGTAGGGACCATATGGACAGGATTTCGACCATATGCCCGTTAGTTGATCAAGAAATTAATTTTCATTACATATTTAACAAATTCAAAGAGGGTTAAATAATAATTTTATATATACCCATATAAAAACAATTAAAGTAATTAAATCAAATTCAAAAAATCAAAAGAGAAAAGAAAAAATAAAACTGAAGCCGNTTATGTAATATTATTCTAAATGTTAAAAAATTTAATTATAGTACGGAACCGTACGGAACCGAACTCGAACGGTTCCAAAATTATATTTGGAACCGACGGTTCCATTTACTAAATACCCTAAAATTTCTGGAACCGAATCGAACCGAACCAAATTGAACCGAACCGATCCGCGCCCACCCCTAATTCTGAATACAACTCCTATTTTGATTTACAAAATAAATAATTCAAATGAAGTTCGTGAAATTTAAATTCCATTTTTCCAAATAGATGGTCTCAATTCTCAATAGTTTATCAAATGAAATATATTGTATATAAAATCATTTCAATTCTTTGTGTTTTTAGTATAATTATAATTTTTAGAAGGTAAAATATTCCTCATTAATTAGTATGTATTATCATCAGTGTTCTAAAATGATTTATTATAACACATGCTGATGTGATCCTAACTTTTCAAGACGGTAACAATCGTTGCACTCGTTGTATGAGAAGTGGCAATTCGTGTTAACGTCAGTTATTGTATTCTCTAATTGGGATTTGCAATACTAATACATTACAATTTGTCAATTTGTTGTCATTTTGAGAAAAAAAATTTAATTGCATTTTAATTTTCTTTCATTGATGAGTAGTGTTGGCATACACACAAGTTGAACATTATTACTCGAAAATCACTTCTATCAAATAGAAAAAGGATAATTGTAGTCATCGTTTCAAATCTTTCAAATATTTGCAACTTTTATCCTGACATTTTATTTATTACTTGTTATCCCGAACATTTCATTCTCGTGCGACGGAAGGACATATGGACATGTTTTATTTATTTATTTTATTTTTTTGACTCAGGTGTTCGAGTTTTGTCCAACTACTTCTAAGGAGTAGCGATCTTCCCATCTAGTTTCAACTTAGGTAAATCCAAATGCGATTATAGTTTAAACACACTTGGATCGAATATTCGGATTCAATTTTCCTTTTGTGGACCTTCTTTTAGGACATACGGACATGACTTCTGATGGGACAACAAAACGTACCATAACTTTGTCTCCACTGACATCTGTCATGCCTTCCAACATAGATGTTTCCTTCCAACTGCCATGAGAATTCGAACTTTTGATTCTCCGTAGAGAACTTTTCTACTTTACCACTACACCATGCCTGTAGGGACCATATGGATAGGATTTTGACCATATGCCTGTTAGTTGATCAAGAAATTAATTTTCATTACATATTTAACAATTTCAAAGAGGGTTAAATAATAATTTTATATATACCCATATAAAAACAATTAAAGTAATTAAATCAAATTCAAAACATCAAAAGAAAAAAGAAAAAATAAAACTGAAGCCGCCCCGCCCCAAAAATCAAAAAATCCACTAACCATCGGCCACCACCACCCACCCTACAAAACATCACTATTGCTGCATTCAAATTTCAAACAACAAAACAAACAATCTCACTCAATTTGAAAACCACAATCTCAAACAACAACACAAACAATCTCATCCATTTGAAAAGCACAATCTCACCCAATTTGAAAACCACAATCTAAAACATATATCGTTAAATGTGTGGTCAAAATTAACTTTTATGGTCAACTAATGAACATATGGATGGAAACCATCACGGGAATTTAAGGGGTTGGGAACAAGTGTGCAACAAATGAAAGGTTAATGTTAAAACTGCAAACATTTTAAAATTTTAGGATCGCGAGTTCGTGACCGCTATTACCCCAACAACAAATATACAACTCTCGTGTACCTATTGACTTAACATTACTAAAATTAAAATACAGTGTCATTTACAATAATACACTTGAATAATTGGAAGGGACATCAACGAGGATAAAATGAAGGAATTGACCAACGCTATTTTCAGACATGAAGCGATGGATGAAAAATGTCATCACTGTGATGATTATCTTTAATGCTTTAAATTATTTTCTTCCATGAACAACTTTGCTGCATCACAGCCTAGCTTAATTTAATATGGAGCTGATGAAGCTTTGACTTGCAAAATCTGAATAAAAGAAAGACAAGGGGACAAGTAAATCAGTTGAACTGGACAACTAAAATTCCAAGTAATACTATACAGTGGATTCATTTTAGTTTAGTTTTTTGGGGAATGAATGACAGTGTCATATGGGCATTGGGCATGTGCGAAGCCCATGTGATCCTTAATTAAACTCTACACGTGCTTTGTGGTCCCACTTCATGCTATTCACAGCACTGGTGTTGAACATCGTTTAGGTGACAGCATCAATGATATTAAATTATAAGGGTTTGTTTGATTGTAAGAATTGAATTTGGGTAGAAAGAAAATGAATTTTAGGGAATTGAATTGCCTAAAACTTGTTTTATTGAGAATTGTCAATTAATTGTATTTGATTTTTATAATTTTTCATCTAGAAAATGTTGAAACTTTGGATCTTTTGATTTTCGTTTGACTTTATTTTCCATGAAAATTGTCCAATAAAGAGATAGAATTTATTGCTATTGGGGATAGAAAAAAAAACAGCCTAAAAAATCATTTTCTCACTAAAGGGTGGGAAAACCAATTCAAGGAAAAGCAAGAAAAAGGAGTCACGTGGAGCTTAAGAAGGAAAACAAATTCCATGAAATTTTTGGCCAATCAAACATTCAATAACTTGGAAAATGAAAAATAATTTCCAACTTCCATGAAAAATAAAGCATATCAAACAGGGCCTAAGTTCAATTAAATACAAGAAATTATGACTCATTTAACGGAAACTATGATATGCTGACACTTATATTGTGTTCAACATTACCAATACTAGATAGTATTAATCTTCCTAAAAACATGTGCTTGGGCCCCCAATGAAATTTCTTTAATCCTAGGGTCCGCACTTCTGCTTTAACTTTTGTTTTCAGTAAAACAACTTTGTGAAGAAGTTTTCTTATGTCAACTTTCTCTAAAAACTCTTCTAACTAGATAAAATATTTTTAAAAAATTATCGAAATATGTTCAAAAATGATGGGCGAATAACATCCCCGAAAGGCCGGACCGATTTTGTTAGTATATTGATCACATGAAAGCATCTTCTTTTAACTCTTTCGAACCATTACGTAGGGCTTTAGAAGACTGCAGTGTTCGTGTTTGGGGTCGAGTGCTCATCGATATTGGAGGTCGAGGATGGATTTAGAGAAAAAGAGGAAATATTGGTGATTATATGTCTGAAATTAAGGCATTAGAAAGGGAAATAGAAGTACTTGTTTAATTAGAAACGACAGTCTAGATCGTATTTGTTTAAAACCAAAAAAATATATATATATATATCATATTGTGTACGTATCTATTACATTCAACCAAACATATGCAGTACATTATTTTGTTTTTTTATTAGTAGATTAGATAATAATAATCTATCATAAATATAATTAAGAAGTCAAATCCATTTGGATCACTAATGAAATTCTTGTAATAAATTAAGTGGCTACTATTACTCACCCTAAAAATATGCAGAAACAATTTTTAATTAATTAATGAATTTTGTCTTTGACACGCTTGTAAACCGAGCAATTCATTGATATCATGAAGATCAACAGGAAATATAATTCCGATCTATGAAAACTGCCAAAAGATTTATCTGAATCTAATTTCATCATTGATTAAAATACATTTGAATTATATGATTATTGATCAACATATAATTATTTTAAACAAATCAGAGCTCATAAGAAAAATAAGTTGACTCATTCTTTAAATTGTGAATGAAATTACGACTGGCTAGCTTATTTTGAGTCCAGATTTTGCTTATAATCAGCATCAAGATTCAGTTACAAGTTAATGATAACAAGAAGAATCAAGAAAATGAATAGAACAACTTCCAAATTATACAGATTCATTTTGACTCCTATCAGCATGCGGTTCTTGATTTTGGAACATCATATTATGCATATTTATTTTCTCATGGAATTGTTTGTCTTCTTCTTCTTCTTGAGGGATTTATGCATCATTTTGAGCTTGAATTCCTGTCTACTTGAGACGCGAGTATGGCGTCAATGGCTTCTTTAACCTGAGAGAGCTCAGGAGCTTTTCCGCCTTGCGCTGGCCAAAATTCATCAGTTGCCAGTACCTGTAAAAATCCAACTAAATTTCTGAGAAAAAAGATATTTTCAATAATACTTGGGGAATTGTTCCGTTGGCATACAATAATGGACGTGGACAGTATAATAAACAATATTTTAGTTTCTATTTCTTGTTTAATACAGTTCGATCCATTTCGAAAAACATGCTACGGAGTTTTTAGATTCAGCTCTTTGATAAGAAGAAAACTGGCAATACAACTAACCTTCACTTGCAATTGGAGAAACTTGACATAACTGATTGCTTTTTCCAGCATAGTAACCAAATCAACCTGCAGAAGAAAATTAGGAGGAAAAAGATAAATAATTTGAGAAATTTTGCACAAATTAACAACACTGGCGTGTATAAAATATTTACATGAAGAAGAATGGATTACCTTGGAGCCATTGGGGACAAGATCTTGGAGTATCTTAAGCCGCTCACTGATCCGCTCTCTTCGATTCTGCAGTGCAAACATTCTTCTTGTTAGCCGTCAGTTTCCCTTTTTGATCTTGCTTGATTTGCAAATAAGTTATAATCCAAACAAAATAAGAGTACTTAAAAAAGAAGCAAATGACCTTTGCTGCAATACTTTGTGGATCCTTCGCAGGTGTTGAGTTTGGATTGGGTTTATTCTTTGAACCAACACTGCATTGCTTCTTATGAGCCTGCACATTCTCTCCCTGTAAAAAGAATTAGATCAGAATGTTATGCATGCAACCCCATGATCTGAAGAATTTGCGGTTAAAGTTCAGTATATTACCGTGATTTGGCGTTTACTCGAGCCTGTTTCTTGTCTAGCATTCTCCTGAATGCCATTGGTATGTGTATTTGCCTCAGGATTTAGCCACCCAAATTGCCCTCCACTTCCCGGGGAGCCGTAGCCGCCAGGTGTTTCCAATAGGCTGTGAGCGGTGCTGCTGCACTTGTGATTCAGCTGATTCTGATAATTATGGTGCAAATTGTCTTCCCAGACTGAATAATCATATTGTTGATTAATCATTTTCAAGCCTTTACTTTCCTCAAAAATAAGCAATGATCCACCGGTTTGCATAAAATTACCATACTCAGGTTTGAAGCTAATCACAGAATGACCTTCGTCAGACAGATATGGTATCACTTTGTACCCTAATCCATTAGAATTCGAGCTGCTTGGACTGGATACTGAAGAAGAATTGCTCATAGTGAAATTCTTTACAAAAACGCCTGCTTTTTTGCCCTCTCGAAATGCGGTTTTTTGTGGCTCATCCATTCCATAAAGCTCGCCGGAAGGATCCATGGAAGCATGAAATGATGATCCTCCAAAATTATTTCCATAATATGCGGCGGCTTGAACTGATCTCAAAGTTGAATCATTAGGCATAGGGTCCTTGGCCAGTGCCATTGAATAAGAACAGACCTGAATACAAACACTAGCAGAGGTTTTCTGAATTTGGATATAGATTATATTAGTAGTGAGGGATAGGTAGTATGTATTCGTGTTCTCTCGAGGAAAACAAGAAATGTGAACTAAGTATATATAGGCAATGGACTTGGAATGTGTTGATCCACGTTGATGACCATTCCCATTTTTTTAAAAATACATTTTTCTTTCTTCTTTTCAACCAAATTCTTAATTAAAATAATATTACATGTAAACCAAATTTTTTTTCTTCCTTTTTAACCATGCCCCTGTTTGGTTCGGATTAAAATCTGAGTTTAATCAAAGTCAAAGTCAAACAATCAATATTAATCACATCTTTTATGGGTCCCACAATTTTAAAACCACACATTTAAAAAATTTCTATAAAAATTTACTAAAAATCCAATTTTAATCCCTACCAAATACCTTCATGTATTCTCTATTAATCTACTATTCCAAAATACATTTTCAAAAAGAATGTAGCTCAAAAGCCCGTAAATGAATCAGTTTGTCATTTGTATACAACTTAAGGTTTTAGATGAGGTGCATCAATATAGTACTAGAATATAAAAAAGATCTCGGTTCTAATCTTGTTTCCGTCTATTTACTAAAATCGTGCATATGTTATATATTGGGTGAAAAAATAAATACCACCGACACGTATTTTTAAAACATAAGGTTGTCTACTCTCTAATAACTTAAGCTTATAAATAAACTAGTTCAACAAAACTGAGCAATTGACTTACTAACCCTACTATGGTAATATATATGCATGTTAGATTAGGTTATTTAGAGGTTTAAGATGTAAGAATGAGACAACTTTGTGTTTACTTATTTAAGTTCCTGTTTGGTGTAGATTAAAATCAAACTTTTAGTAAATTTTAATAAATGTATTATTAAAAAGATGTGTGTCCTATAAATTTGCAATTAAAATTAATTATTGATTTTGATTTGAAATTTTCATCAACTTTTAATCTTCGAGTTAAATTTAAGCTTTATGGGGTTTGTTTAATGATTGTATGTGGGATTGTTAGCTGGCAGAGTTTTAGTAAATGGAACAAGAGAAAAGAGCAGTGTAATTTTTAGATAAAAGAAGGGAAATCAGCAAAACCTTCGGCAGTTCTTCCGGCAATGCACGTCGTCCCAGATTCCTCCTCCCCAGTTTCGTGCAAACTTAGAAACCATAAGCACGTGAATTCTATTCTTTGTAATTTTTATATTATATCTTACATTCCATTGGTCTATAGCTAAGTAATAAATAACAGGAGAAAAGCTTGCATCCTTGATTGTGCACTATGAAGAGAGTTGTGCCACCTACATCTTCAAAACACAATGAAACTTGCACTAGATTAACCTATATATACATACTATATGAGTTATGTAGCCCTAATACGGACATGCCGATGCAATTTTTCTAGAAAATAAGACATTTTATGTGACATATTTTTGGACATGTGTCTCACGATTCGAAGAATGCCAAATTTTGACAGTGTCCTAGGATGAGTATTCATGCTTCATGATTTGATGCAACACTTAGGTGTTTGTTGGAAGAGATTATTTGGAGTGAAAAATGATTATTATTATTATTTTGAGGATATGTGGCTATAAAAAATGGAAAAGTTATGAATTTATGTGTAAAATTATTTTATTGAGAAAATGTATGATTAAAAATGAGTTTGAGAAAAATTAATTTTTGCCAAACAAACCCTTGAAGAGTTTGAGAGCTCCTCTTGTAGTTCTCGTTAAAAGCTACAAAACACATTGAAAATGACCGAAGTTAATTTTGAATAAAAACCAAATATGGGGAGTCATTTACTGCTTATGGTACATTGGTAGGTTTCGGTTTGTGTGTCTGATGTACCTAATCATTCGTAAAGATATGAATGGCATTTTTTTTTAAAAAAAAAAGGTTGAACTCCAATCTTGAGGGCTCGACTCGCCCCGACTCGCCCCACGAGCATTACGGAGGAGGTAAATCGCGGGATATACCTTAACAGGCTAGGGTGCAAAAGCTGCCATACTGGTGCCCACAAAGAGTCTAATTTCATACCTTATAAGAGGCAGAAATCGAACCCTCACACTGTGGCTGCCAACTCAATTGAGACTACCTCACTCATATCCTTTGTACCACCGAGCTATGCCCCTGGAGGCCGCATTTTTTTATGTTGTTTAAGAAATAGAAGGTAAAATTAAAAGTTGATCTCCATTAATGGTTCTTTCTATTGCCCAATTTTCTTGTCCAGGTGGTACAATCATACAAATAATATTCCTTCTCTCCCTCTCTCCCCACAATTAATTAATTGCCCTACTTCTAAGAGCATCTCTGACATATTCCATGGATTGAAATTTAGGTCGCATAAATAGAAAAACTGAGATCTACATGATATTATTGTTTTATGAACAGATGGTAAATTAGCAAATTTCATCTTAAGTTCCGTCTATAATTCATACTTCCATCTATAATTTATATTTAGCCATTGTTTGAACCATATTTTTAAAATTATTTTTCTCCAAACTCATTTTTAATCACAAATTCTTCAATAAAATAATTTTATATATAAATTCAAAATTTTTTCTTACTTTTTAAATACGCATTTTTCAAAAATTACTTTTTACAAAATCTATTTTCAAAAAAAAAAAAAAGAAACTGAAAACTAGGGTTTAATAGGAAAGAAAAGTTAATAAACATGATTGAGAAAAATAAGAAACATGAGATAGAGAGAGAGAGACACACACACAGAGAAATATTACATTTTTGTGACCCACTACGAGTAGAAGAGTCCTATATTTATATTTATGCCCTATTTGTTTCAGATTAAAATCGGATTTTAATTTAAATCAAAGTTAACAATTAATATTAATCACATTTTTCATGAATCCCACAACTTTTCAAACACACATTTCAAAAACTTATATCACAATCTACTAAAAAATTAATTTTAATCTTCATCAAACACCCACTTAGACTGTCATCTTAATAATGTCTGTTTTCTCGCCGTGTGAGCTACACATTATCTCATACATGTTGATTAGAGAGGAACTTACAAAGATATTGTCTATTTAAACTTAAGTGGTGCATTAATCAACATTAACACGAGAGATGCTCTTAGTTTTATGTAAAACATCTGTCTATGCAATTGTAAGGTTATTGTCACGTTGTTCAATAAAGTTAGAATATATATTGTTGATCCTAAAAAAAGTACATTCAACGTGGCCGATAGATCCTAAAACCTTTCACGTCCACACAAGCTTAATTTCTACACACTTTTGACAAACCGTTAGCCACACGTGCCTGTTTCAGTGGAGGTAGAGTTGGCCGTGCGCACTTCGAAGTCAATTGGGGAAGTAAATATATGGGTGTAGAAGAGTTTTAGACGTGAGCCTCTAGTATAAGAAGGAGGTCGGCTTTGGAGAGTAATAGATAAAATAGTAATATGACAAAGTTATCATTTGAGAGTCTAAATTTGCATTACCTTCAAATGACACTAAGTGTGAGTTTTTACAATAAAAAATGGATGAATGAGGATTGTTAGATGAAGAGATACGTGGTCTCATCCATGTAGCTGATGTCCCTCATTTTGGACATCAATCAATCATAAGTCTTCAATGCTAGTACCACTTTATCACCCGTAATGCCAAGCTTGCGGCTTTGGACTTGACTGAATAGGCTAGTAGGTGATGACACTGAATTGTCACATCAATCACATAACAAAAGATTGTCTAGGAGATCTCGTGACGAGCTCCTTTTATGGCCAGTATGATTTGGCGGGATCGACAAGTATATTGGTTCGGCCACAGGAAGGGGTTCGGTTAGATCTACCCCGTATTAACTCTACCTTTGCACGACATGTAGGATATTTGGAGCGTTGTAAATCAATGCGTAATAATAGTCCCTGAAATCCATCTATGATTATTTATATAATGCGTGGATTTTTAAGTTGGTGGTGACGAAGAAAGCTGTGTAGCTTAACATATATTTATATTTGAACAATGCGATAGTGATATAACTACCATAGAGACCGATGTTTAATACGAATAAGGTCAAAAGCACTTTTTGGAGGGCAAAACTACTTTGGTTTAAATAATGAGTGTTTGGTTGAAGTCTAAAAATGCTTATTGATTAAGAAAATAACCTTTCAAAGTTGATTTAGGGAAGCCCAAAATTTGAGCTTATTCAAAGTGGAAATTACATGTATCCCTNAATCAACATTAACACGAGAGATGCTCTTAGTTTTATGTAAAACATCTGTCTATGCAATTGTAAGGTTATTGTCACGTTGTTCAATAAAGTTAGAATATATATTGTTGATCCTAAAAAAAGTACCTTCAACGTGGCCGACAGATCCTAAAACCTTTCACATCCACACTAGCTTAATTTCTATACACTTTGACAAACTGTTAGCCACACGTGACATGTTTCAGTTGAGGTAGAGTTGGCCGTGCTCACTTCAAAGTCAATTGGGGAAGTAAAATATATGGATGTAGAAGAGTTTTAGACATGAGCCTCCAGTATAAGAAGGGGGTCGGCTTTGGAGAGTGATAGATAAAATAGTATTATGACAAAGTTATAACTTGAGAGTGTAAACTTGCATTACCTTCAAATGGTACTAAATGTGAGTTTTTACACTAAAAAATGGATGAATGAGGATTGTTAGATGAAGAGATACGTGGTCTCATCCATGTAGCTGATGTCCCCAATTTTGGACATCAATCAATCATAAGTCTTCAATGCTAGTACCACTTTATCACCCATAATGCCAAGCTTGCGGCTTTGAACTTGACTAAATAGGCTAGCAGGCGATGACACCGAATTGTCACATCAATCATATAACAAAAGATTGTCTAGGAGATCTCGTGACGAGCTCCTTCTATGGCTAGTATGATTTGGCGGGATCGACAAGTATATTGGTTCGGCCACAGGAAGGGGTTCTGTTAGATCTGCCCTGTATAAACCTTACCTTTGCACGACATGTAGGATATTT